TCTGAGAATTTTCACAGCTCTTCAACTGATAGTACATGTCTTCGACATAAACACTGTTGTATATCAGAACACTTGAAATCCAAGTAACGTTCCGGTTAGCCCCACATGCTCAAAACATTTTCTAGCAAATGAAGCTTCGAATAACTAGAAAGAACTTCGAATCGACGTTCGTTTATATCACTAGTACCGTTAGAATACTAATACTTGACGCAGCGCTTTCTTCTTAAGCCCAGTGGAACTCTACCTCAAACCTGTCAACAGTACGTAATGAATTCACGGCAACGCTGTTAAGTTCGAGCAAAGTTCTTGCTGCTGGTGGTCTCGCAACAGGCACTGATCTTGCTAGTTGTGAAATATATGATCCATCAACAGGCCATTGGAACTCTACTGCAAGCATGGCAGGGGCACGTTATGGTCACACTGCAACCTTGTTAAGTTCGGGCAAAGTTCTTGTCACGGGTGGTAACGACGGCACTGCTCTTAGTAGTTGTGAGATATACGATCCATCAACAGGTCATTGGAACTCTACTGCAAGCATGATAGGGGCACGTTTTCAGCACACTGCAACCTTGTTCAGTTCGGGCCAAGTCCTTGCCGCTGGTGGTGAACGGCCGCCCGTTGATCTTGCTACTTGTGAAATTTACAATCCGTGAACCTGCTATTGTTTATCTTCAATTTGGCACAAGAGAAAGTGTTGAGCCTTCGGGATGTTCTCGCTGGGGTTTGCTAGTTAATGTTCAGAAAGCTCTTTTCATGATTCTCCACTGTTGCGCTTAGTTCTGTTTAAATATACTTTTACGAAAGATTATTGAAGCATTAAAGCCATTCGTGTCTGTTTCGAGCCCGAGGGTTGAGAATAGGTAAGGGTGCCTTCCGGCAGCCTCGAAAATGGTTGCAAGCACAGGTTATCGTGAACGCTGAGTCTTGCGACAATCTCTCTTTTCAGAACTGAATCCAAGAGTTTAATTAAACTCTATATTAGATGAGAGAAGTCATGTTCGGCTCTTTTCATGGAAAGATAAAAGTTACTTGAGCCTGTTAACAGGTCGATGATACTAAGCAATACTTCGGAATAGTAGGCAAAGAAACCATGATGTTGCTAGGTTTTCCATTGAAAAAAACCGAGACTTTCACCGAAAATCGAAAACTATATAAGAATACCCACACAGACCTTATTCGATTCAGTTTCTGATGCTGATTCCGAACGGCACATTAGTTTAGCTAAAAATTGAAATTTGATGCTGAAAATCTCAAAATACGAGTTTATTTTTATATTCTTCGTCATTGATTTAGAAAAAACGAATTTTCTCGACAAGGGAATAAATAAAAGTAAAAGGAGCTTTATATTTTTGAGGCTCGTTTACTGCCGGTTCTAGTGAAGTGATAAAGTCTACTTTATCTTGTCACATCTAAGAAAACTGTCAGTTTAAACGACGTACAACTCCGTAACGACACATTACTTAGACTTACAACCGTGAACTCCAGACATGCTTTCGATCTTCTACAGTAGATGATGCCATGAGAGCCCAAATCATTAGGGATGCACCGAGACGGGGTACTCGATACCCGAAACTTTAGTCTCGATTAGTCCCGAGTCTCAAACGTTTCGGTCTCGAATAGTCTCGAGTCTCGAAAGTTTCGGTCCCGAATAGTCTCGATATAAAAGTGCCGGTAGCAAAACTTTCCGAGACTTTTTCTAGACTATTTTTTTTGTTCTGTATAGAAGATTTCTTTGGTGAAATATGTACTGGACGTAATGTCGAAAGACATTT